AAAGATCATATTTTATTAAGGTTTGATGTGTTTAGGCTGTAGATCTTGTTTGTAATGATGTGATTTAATTTTATAGTGACATTTTCAATTTTCTGTCACAATATTTAAAAGAAAATGAACATACAGCGAAGTGTAGCGAGGCCTCAGTGGAGACGATTTCTGCACAGACACGTGTTGCTTTATGCACAAATACGTCTGTAAGAGTTATTTAATTGACCTGATTCTGATCTTTGATCAGTGAATTTATTGTCTTTATTAAAAATAAAAAAAATACTACATGTGTTGCATGTTTTAATTTAGACTTACTGTGTAAAAAAAGGAAAAACACTGAAAATGTCAAACGCTAATCACAGTGGGGCAGTTTTATTTTTTATTTTTAATAAACTGATTTGCAGGAATTTCAAATCCGGTTTCCACTGAGACTCTGATCCCATTCTGTCTTTTTATTATAATTCCCACATCTTAGAACGCCATTAGATGAAGTGGTGTTGAACCCTACAGCTGCTTCAGTGGTCCATTTAACGTGGCTTTACAAACTCTGAAGCCAAATTAAAATCCTGAGACAAGCAGCTGATAAACATCTTGTTTTTAAAGCTGGATGTTTTGACCATTTGGTCCTCGAGCCACATCTTCACTAAAAAAGCTTGTCTGAGTCACGAAGCGCCACCACACACAGAGAAACACTGACGATAAACACGCCTTTATGAGTTTAACATACATGTATGCACGCGTAAACATTGACTTTAAGCCAACCAGAAGTTTTGGATTCATGTAGGCGAGGCTGAGTTGGATCCACACAAACACACAAGTAAACACATACACTCCTGAGATCCCTTAAAGGGATAGTTCAGCTCTTGTGAAAGCATTTTGTGTAAAAATAATATGAACAGTTATTATCTTACTTGTTCCTGGTAGTTCGTTACAATTCAAACTTTAAACTTACGTCTTGTTATAACAACACAAATATTTCTGCATTTAAATTGTTTACATATATCTGATTGTAAAACCCTCTAAATTGCTGCGTCTGAGTATTTATCTCTTTGTTTCTAATTTTTTTCATCCTTCCAGCCTCTCCATTCTGGTTTAACCTGGTATGTGTTATTTATTTATTTATGAATCCTTGTGGCTGTTGTTGTTGTTTTCCTTTCGGCTGATGCCTTCTATAGAGGTTACGACAGCGAGCAAACTCACATGAAAGATCTGGCAATTGTTTTACTCTGAAAACTCTCGATGATGCAACGTGGGCTCGAACCTGCAGCCTCAACATTACGAGACCACAGCACTGACCGCCAAGTTACTGGGGGCCATTTATTTTTCTTTGTAAATCCAGTCCAGTCCCAGTTTGGCAACAGTTGCTGTTTTAAATGTGTTTTTTAAAGAAATTTGACTTGACTTAAATTTCTGATCTCATCATCAATATTAGTGTTGCCCCTACCATTAAACAAGCGGGGCGTCCCGCCTCGTCAACAGAACCGAGCGCCCTATCTACCGCCCCGCCCCCACCTGTCAACAACTGTCGGTACTGATAATGTGCGGGGCGCAATACAAACAAACAAACTAGCAAAAATGCTACTGACGTACCGCTCTGCTACCCCCCCTCCCCGTCAACAATTATTGGCAGCAACGTACGTAGCGCTAAACACAGATGTAACACCCCCCCGTTGATAAAAACTGGCAGCAACATAGCGTTAAGCTAGCACGCAAGCAACACACACGACTCTGTCCCCACCCGCAGCCGTCGATAAAAACTGGCAGCAACGTCAAAAAAAACAAACAATGAGTTCCCCGCCAAGGGAGCTGAACTAGGGAAAACACAAATATCTACTTTTTAACAGTAATGTTTTCTTGGTAATGATGCTTGGAAAGTGATTTTTTTTTTAAATAAACTAAATGTGTGTAGCTTAAACACCACAATAAATAAAGGTAAGGCAACAAGTTCGCTCGTCAGTCCAGTCAGAATAAAACAGTATTTCTTGAGGACACTCAAAGAGCTGTCTACAACAGGTAAGATATTAACTCTTCATAGCCTTTCAAGAGATCTGAACTATGCCTTCAACGTTGGGTGGTATTGGGAACACTATAGCTTCAGTTTCCTTCCAGCTGACAGACGCCATGTTTGATGGTAGTTGTGTGCTCTCAGTGACGGCAGTAAGTCAGTCTTCTGGCAGTGCTGAGTTTCTCCTCTCCTTGAGGATCAATCAGTAGCTTTGACAAAGAAAACACTGAGATCTGTTGAAATTTAACTCTACAAGAGCATACGAGGAAATAATCTATATAAATGGAACCATACTGCATGTCTAATAAATACTGTATAAATAACACAAACGTCCTCACCCACCTGATCAACAGTAAACTACTCAAATGATCACAGCTAAAGTTTTTACAACTAGTATTATCTGCGTGTTACACCAATTCAGCTTGATTTTAAATTACATTAAGCTGCTGAATGAATGCAGAAATAAAACGAAAAAAATACAGTAATCTACAATTTAAATACTGTAGCACTACTAATAGTATCAGTACGTGGAACTCTGGATTGTGATCACGTCTAAACCAACGATGATAGTAAAGGCAGCTAATTGTCTTCCTCTTGACATGAACACAATGCCCTCGGTTCAGCCTGTGAACACTGTGCATCACAGAGACAGGCCTCCAAGTATAGCACGTGACCCGTGATCACTGGAATGAAGCCTAATTCCTGGAAAAAACAGTGACGGTACATTAAAATGAACTGAAGTGATGGAGGGGACGGAGAAGAAAAGCTGTGTCCAAGTTCACAAGCTGCCTCAGATTCATCACAACATAACACCTCTGCTTTTTGGATTCAAATGCTCTGATCAGGGGATAAAAACTGTTTTTTGTTTTGTCCTTGGAGCAGAAATAGTAAAAGCTGCAGCACAGTCTTTGTTGTTAAAAAAAAAGAGAGCAGGAAAGGGAACAGAGTGATCTCAGATCTGTCTCATCTTCAACTGGTCTGCTGGAAACCTTCCCTGGATCAATATCTAACACAGGACTGCTTGTTCTCCTCGGAGTAAAAAAACAAACATTCAGTTTTTATGTAACCTCTACAGGATGTGGAACACACTCTGAGAAATCCTGAGGTTTTCTCAGCTCTCAGCTGTTCTAAATCCCATAATGAACATGATGTTTTTATTTTAAGCAGGTCTTTTATTTAGCAGCTTAAACTGTATTTCTTTTATACAGTTTATTAAATTCAGTTTTGTTTAATTATATATTTATCACCTGCCACATAAAGGCAAAGGCAGATGTTTTCCTGGTTTTGCCTGTTAGCAAAATATCTCATGAACCATTGGATGCACATCTACAAATTATTAACTTTTGGAGTCAACTCATTATAAGACGGCCACCACATCAGCTAAATGATACTAAAAGCACAGTTTTGGCTGTTATTAGTCAAATTCTACAGACAATAAGCTAAAGTTTGGTGTGGTAGTAGCTGAGAGTCATCCCCAACACATATTCTGAGCGTTAACTGCGTGTGCAAGAGTCTGTCAAAAATGTGGTTGTTAACTATTTCAATTCAACCCTGTTAGTAAAACATCACACTAACTACTAGACGGATTTTAATGAAGCGTTCAGGAAATAAATATTTAATCTACAAATGATTACCTTTTGAAGTCAGTCCAATTCATGGCTAACCAACATCACATAACACAAACAAAGCTATAACCCAATCAGTTAAGCAGATACAGTAGTCCCTCGCTACTTTGTGGTTCATCTATCGCGGATTCGCTCCATCGCGGTTTTTCAAAATAAGATTGGACATGACACACAAATAGCTGACTGATGAATGAGCCGCATGATCGGCATGAAATTTCTATTTAAAACAAATTATTTTTAATTATTTAGCACCTGCTGCACCTTTGTGCAGCCCATACTGCAGGATAAACAGAGCAGAGAAGTGGGCGTGGCCAAGAGCGCTTGCAGGTGGCAAAGAGCAGAGGAAGCAAGGAGCTGAAATCATGACATTCTGTGCTGTTTTAGAGCGTTCAGAGTTTAGAAACATTGTTTAGAGTATTACAAGAGTGTGGGAAGGGTTTAAAACACCTTACCATATACCTATATAATTAATAAAATAAACTACTAGTTAGTACTTGTACTACTTTTCCTATTTTGCGGTTTTTCACTTATCGTGTGTTTTCAGGATATGGATCCCCCGCGATAACCGAGGGACTACTGTATCGATGTAAAGATTGATGTGGTAGTAGCTGAGAGTCATTAGCAACGTGCACTCTGAGCCCTAACAGATCACAGTAAAGCATGAGATTGTACGTAACATTATTTTCAAGTTTTGACCAAAATGACAACAACTTCGAAATGATCATCTCAACATGAAATGACCTAAATCTTGAAAAAAAATGTCTTAAAAGGCGATGGGCAATATGCATTCCTTCAATGAACACGGGGCTTTGAAAGTTTTTAACACGTTAAATTAGATGCGTTTGTTTTTTGGTTCTGCATCATAAGTGTCGGAATAGAATTTTCTCACTTATGAGCTGTCAGTGGAAGGCAGGTTTTTCTTTCTAGGACTGTAAATACATCGTTGTTTAGATACGGGACAAGTGTGTTTAAGAACACAGCAGCATTTATCTCATTTTTACATGAAAGGCATGATCTGAAACTAAACATCTGCTCATGAGACAGTGGCTCAGCTCCTAATATCAGCAGACTGGACATAAAAATTATAATAGAATCTATGTAAAAACTTGAGGATATGATTTGACCTGTTGCTTTCATAGATTTGCCTGCTGTTCAAACTTAGTAAACGTGATAAAGTCCGGCTTTAAGAGTAGATCAGGACCACCTGAGCACAATGATAGGCTGCTCCTCAGCGGGTCACACACTGAGTTGGTGAGAAGCTCAAAGTTCACGCCCTGAGCCTCTGCATAAGGCAGCCCCTGAATTTGGACACAGCTTGCATTGTCTCCTCAAAGTAAGCCCAATCACAGGAGTTCCTTCCTGTGAGGTCATCACTGATGTCATCTGGAGGTCTGGACCTTATTGGGCATCTGGGCGTAGAGGTACTTCCAGATGGCGTAGTAATGAACGGCTGCTCCCATGGCGACAAACAGGTGCCAAATGGCATGAGCGAACGGGACGATGCCATCGCTTTTAAAGAAGACCATGCCGAGACAGTAGCAGGTGCCACCGACCAGCAGCTCACACAACCCCGACTGCTCTGGCTGCAAAAGAGATATTAGGGTCATTAGGATGAAACAGTCAATGTGGTTCAGAATGGCATAACAAAAAAGACACCTCACCATGGAGAAGATGACCAGAGCTGGAAAAACTCCCATCACCGTGTAGCAGATCAACTCCATGAGCTTATACCTGAGGCAGAGAAGGGTTTGTTTTAGCTCAGGCTTTTTTCTTTTTTACCAAACACTTGGATGAAGAGTAGAAAGTTAAACAGTACTGCGCAAAAGTCTTTAGTCATCACTCGTCTCTTTACATTTTACATCCAAAGTGTCAGGCTCTTCTGTAAACATTTTCTGTCCAGTTCTTATAAGACCAAGACAATGTATTGCTCAGGGTGCTTAAAAAGTGGACACTGGAAGACACAAGGAAAGTTTCAGAATTTAAAATAAGATCTACAGAAGATATGTTATATATATATATATATATATATATATATATATATATATTTATATA